TTTTTTTTTTTTTTTTTTTTTTTTTTTTTTTTTTTTGAGACAGGGTCTTGTTTTATAATTCAGGCTGGTCTCTGAGGCTGTTCCAGTCCTTTTTCCTCCACTGAGTATTATTTACAGAGCTGGGCAGTGCCAGCTCCCGGTCCTCCGCTTGCTACAAGGTGCCCGCTACTCTGCAGGATGGTCTATGCACTTCCGCCCCAGCTGTCCTGGTGAAGCATTCCAGGCTATTCCCCACCCAACGCCTGAGAAACTACAAGTCCGCGCACAGGAGGGGACTGGAGAGGGGCTGAGTTAGGGGGTAGGATGGTCAAGCAACAGGTCTGAGCAGTGGATCACAGACAGCAGGCGGGGCCAGGCTTCCTGACTCCAGTTCTCCCAGGAACATATAAGGCAGTGGGGTCCCGAGCACGTGCAGCTTCTCGGAGGAGCATAGTCCTGCCCTGCCTGTAGATCCCACCACAGTGAACCCCTGACAGAAAGAAGTCTTTATTTGGAGAAGAAAGGGAGTTTGAGTCCTTGACAGGAAGCCCCGGGCGGGCGCACTGCTCTGCCCAGAGGCGGTGGGGGTGGAGGCTGGGCACTCAAGCAAGCCCTAAACCACAAGGGTTTTGCACCAACTTCTACTTAAGTGCTCAGTGTTGTCGTTTTAATAACAGACATATCTATCATTTCTTCACCGAGGGGAATTTGGCAATAATTTTTTATAACGTGAGCTCAGAAGCTAAGAAAAGAAAGCATTTTCTGATTATAGTCCTTTCTCTGTTAGGATAAAATAATCACTGTTGTTAGGAAAAACTAAGGAAAGCATCAGAACGTGCTCAAGTCTGGGGAACTTCCTTGTTGACACGCTTTTCTATCTCGAAAACAAATCATTCTGCATGTTTCCCTATTACATCATTTGGTTCCTTTTCTGGTCTCTAAGTGCCCAGGAACTCCGGGAAGAGCCTGAGACTGCAGGTACAACACTGTCCTACCCATCGAGGCAGGGACACAAGTCCCACGAGCTCAGCAAAGCCCGGGTCAATGTCTACGGGCACGGCGAGGAGACCGGGAGGCGCTGAAGGGCCGAGCCCGCCAGCCCTGGATCCTGGACGCAGGGTGGCCTGACCAGCCCAGCTCCAACGATCCGCCTGCCTGCTGCGGACCCCGAGAGACCCGACCCAGACGCCCGGGTCGGTGCAAGCAGACGCCCACCGCAGGATGCCGGCGCGCTGCCGGTGCCCGTTTCCTCTCGAAGCATGTGACCGAGGTTCTGGGCCCTCCTACCCCGAAGCTCTGGGCCTTCCACCCCATTGCTGGCTCCTCACCAGGATGGCCTTGTCTTGCTCCGTGACCCGGCTCTGCTTCTTACGGGCGAACAGGTTGCCCATGGCGGACCCGCGACCAGCCGCCCTACCGTCGCTGCCCGGCGGCCACCGTACCCCCCCCCACCCTACGGCAGCCGCGAAGGGCCAAGTGCCGCAGAACGCGAACCGTCCGCCCTAACACCCCCGCGTCTCACCCGGCTTCGCTTCCTGCAGGGCCCGCCGGAAAAGCAGCTGGAGTAAGCCGTAGTTAGTCCGGATGGCGTCACAGATGCGCCGTGTGCGCACCCTGCCGGTATGGGTGATGACCAAAACTCTGTTCCCTTGGATGTACTTTGTGAGCTCAATGATTGAGGTTTCCTAGCCTTCCAGAACCCTCGCGGCATCTAGTGATGTCACACCCACCATCTGGACCCTAAAGTGTTGGCTGGAATGCTATCTAGCAGCCATCCAGGGCCGTTCAGCACCGTCCCTTGTTTTTTCTTCCTGGTTGTTCTGGCTTTGTTCAGGCCTGGGAGTGGGCTAGTCCCAGTCTGGGGCCATTGAGGTTGAGGCTGCGAGGAGCAGTCACTTCCCTGCTGTATAGAACATCTGCCCCTGGGATTGTTGCAGCTGATTAAATTTGCAGTCATATCCAGGGGTTGACTAAAGTCACTTTGCTTCTTGACCCCAGAGTGAGTTACATGGGGGTGTGATAGACACTTCACATCCATGGCTTTTCAGTCTGTGCCAGTGACATTAATCTTAGCAGCTCCTGGGGGATGTAGTGTGGCCCTGGTTTACTGTCTCCTAGGGAGGAGGAGTCCTTGGGCCCCTCTTCCCCTGAGAGGCAATACAGTGATTATGCTAACTACTACACCTATTCTAGATCATTCGAGAACTGAGGCACGAATCCATAGAAAGGGTCTATGGGCTCCTTGGCCCCACCGAGAGGCAAACTTTAGCCGAAATTGAAATGTCACCTTACCCTTATAAATTCTGGGAGGTGTCCATTCTCGTCTCTTTTTAATTTTTTAAAATTTATTTGATACAGGGTCTTGATACACAGTTCAGACTCCTAGTGATCCTCCTGTCTCAGCCTCCCCTGCACTGGGATTACAGGCGTGTGCCACCATAACCAGTTTTAGGGCCAGCATGTTGTGCCCAGGGTTCCGGGGCTGGCACAGCATGTGGTATCAGGGATCAAACTCAGGTCCTTGCACTTGCCAGGCAGGCGCTTAGACCACTGAGCTATCTCCCCAGCCCATCCATTCTCATCTTGCAGCAATGCTTCTGGGTTCTTCCTCCAGAGGCAGCACTCCAGGTCTGTGACTTGACTCCACTTGGGAATGGGAGGGGAGGCTATGAGTCAGGTCTGTTGTGACTAAAGTCAGGTTTTGGCCATCAAATGTGGAGTTCTTTGTCAAGGCAAGCAGTGTTCTAGTGGCTTGTTCACTTACTTAATCCCAGGGATGCTTTGATACACAGGATTCCTGAAGGCCAGGGCATAGTCAGTTCCAGCTGCCTGTTTTGGGGCTCAGCTCACCTTTGCCTTGGTGGTTAGCTATTACCTTTTGGCCTCTGCTGCTCTGGGCTCCCATTGACCCAAAATATCAGGGAGCCCCATCCCTCACCGTCAGTTCCACTTACCAAGAACAGCGGCCACTGAACCTTCCAGGACATGAGGTCCCCACACTCATCTGGTTCCTGTGCCCTAGTGGAAGCATGTTCAGGGTGCATGGTTAGGTTGTGGCTTCATAGGCTGCCCTTGGCAGACCAGTTCAGCGTCCTTTCTGTGAATCTCTGGATTCTGTCATCCACACAAACCAGACACTGGCAGCTCATGCTAACTGCAGACCCTGTCAGTCTGAGTTTCAGTCCATCAAGGAAAGCGTGGGCTGTGGCTCCAGCTGCATGAGGGGAGCCTGGGGAGGGTTGGAGCGGCAAATTCCACCCCATCTGGGTTCTATTTCAGCCTCCTCAGTCTAACACCCCAGAATCCACTTCCACACATATCTCCAGGTCTCTGCCAATATATAGTTAAAAAATCTCTGAGTTCTTATAGTTTATAATCTAGGATTTGGCAAACTACAGCCCATGAGCCAAATTTGGCTCAGAGCCTATTTTTTGCACAGCCTATGAGCTAAGAATGGTTTTTGTACTTTTAAAGGGTTGTAAAACACACACGCTCACACACTTATACACACATGATGTACAGACAATAACAATACTGAAAAAGAATAGGAAAAAGTTGTAGAACAAGAAGCTGGACAGAGGCTTTTGGTGTCTGCTAGAGTAAAACATATCCTCTTTGGTCCTTCACAGAAAAAACTCCCCAGTCTGTGCCATGAGTCGTTTCCTGCTCATGTCACCCTGTTCCCAGCCCCCGGATTGACACCCACCACTGATCTTGCCGCAGAGGAGGTGACTGTGGAAGCCACCAAGGGGGAGGGAATCCTGGGGGAACTGCTGCAGGTGGCCCCAGAGAGGGTCCCCAAATACAGGGTGCTGTCCCCTTGGCCACTGCCACTCTTGTTAGCAGGAGAGGCTCTGAGTGGCCTGTGGATTCAAGATCTTTGTCTCCTTTTTGAGTTAAGGGGTCTGGTCTTTTTTTCAAGGCCCTAACTTTCAAGTGAGGAAGCTGGCAAGGGTTGGAGTTCGGCTGACATTGTGATCACGTGCGTGCACCTGGCTTGGATGCTGGTCTTCAGCGGTGTGGTCAGTACAGTTAGAAGAAATAAGAGATCCATGCTGTCATGTGTCTGTAATTCTAACACTCTGAAAAGCTGAGGCAGGAGGATCACAAACTCAAGGCCAGGATGGGCAATTCAGGGGCCCCTGGGCCAGCATGGATATTTTCTGCTCCTCCAAGCTGAGGATTGAGGAGCCCAACTGATCCTTTGACTTCTTCTTTTTCTTCTTCTTCTTTTTTTTTTTTTTTTGTGGTACCAGGGATTGAACTCAGGACCTTGCACTTGCCAGGCAGGTGCTTACGCCACTGAGCTATATCCCAGGCCCCTGATCCTTTGACTTCTGTAAAGGCCCCAGTGCATGAGGGGTCTGTACCTCACATCCCTGTCATCCCTCACATCACTGTCATTTGAGCCCCAGGGCACAAGCTTTCAGTTGCATTTTATTGTGATTGGCTCCCTTCATGATGAGGCCAACAAGCCCTGAAGGGCAGCAGCATTCATTTTCTGAGGGCAAGAAGTTCAGCAATGTATTCAAGCCCAAGATCACGGTCAGAATAGTCTCTCAATTCTGTCCTGGAAGATCTGTCACCTGGGTCTATGGGGATGATACTACTGTCATCTGGTTCCAGTTGAGAGACAGAAACTGCACTGGTCATCTGAACAGGAAAATATGATAGGAAGAGTTGTTAACTAGAAAACAATGTTTAACTATTAAAAGGGTACAGAGCTCTGAGGAATCCAGGAATAGCAGCTAGTATTTCTAGTGCAGAGAGCAGACAGGGAAGAGGCTGTGAACATGGGAACTTTCTGGCACAGGCTGGACTTCGTTGGAGATTGTGTCTGCTACAGGAGCTGGCAGCTGCCCATGGTGACTCCAGCTGCCAACGAGCTGGCCAGGGCTGTCTGGGAGAGGCTACTGGCTGGCCCTGCAACTCACAGGGGTGCTTATGCCAGGAGCTCCCACACAGTGGAGGAGGCTGTAGAAGTATCCTGTGGGTGACTGAGAGGGTCACCAAAGAGTGTTGGGTACAACCGTTGCACCGTGGGGACACAGCAGGGGATGAAGAAAGGGAAGCCTCTGGGACCAGGGTGTGGCTGAGTGGTACTGTGCTTGCCTAGTGCACAATGCCAGGGGCCTGAATTTCCCAACCAGCACTACAGATAAAATGGAAAGCCCTTTCCTCTATGAGGCCTCTCTATGGCTCCAGTGCCCTCAGTGCCATCCTCACAGATGATAAGCTGGGATGAGTGAGGGCTGAGAGCCATGTGTACGATGGGCCCTCAGCTGTGGCCATGGTGGAGCTGTGTGGCGTGGCTTCCTCCTGGCATCTTGGGCTGCTCATCCTTGGAACTCAGCCACCAGGTCGGGAGGAGCCAAGCAGTCGTGGGAAGGCCTGCAGGGAGGGAGCCCACTGGCCACCATGGCAGTGAGCTATACCGGAAGGAGCATTCTAGGCCCCGTCTGCTGAGCCGCTCTGGCTCCACCCTTTGGGGCAGAGGTGAGCCGTTCCCAGCGAGCACTGTCAGAGTTGCAGATCATGAGCTAAGTGAACTGTTTGCAGGTACTTTGTGGGGGTGCCACACAGCAAAGGATAGCTAGGATGAGGGTGCAGGCAGCTGGTGGGAAGAGCTCAGGTGGACCCCAGTATCTCACGGTGAAATGTGTGAATCCATACGTCTTAGGGGCTTTTTGCAGAGACGATCCCCAGTCCTGCCCATTAGGAGCTACTCCCAACCCTGGTGCCTACTGGGGATGGGTAAGAACTCGTGACTCTCTACTTAGATATTTACTGTCCAATCTCAATCATGCACACAAAACAAAGGCTACCACTGAGTTATATCCTCAGCCCTTTTTGTTGTGAGATGTGGTCTTGCTGAGTTATCCAAGCTGGCCTCAAACTTGTGATTCTCCTGCCTCAGTCTCCAGGGAGTTGGGATTACAGCTGTGTACTGCCACGGCTGCTTCAGATTTTGTTTTTTAATGATCAATTTAGGCCTTACTAGGTGGCCCCTCTTTTCCAATCCTAGGGACACTTGCCCAATAAGCTTAGCCGAAAGTCCCTGGCAACATTATCCATTCTGACTGCTGCCTGGTGACCATGCCCAGCCTGCCTCAGCCTCGCAGCCTTTGGCACTCTGGGTCATGAGACATCAGGGGACCTGTTTTTGGTAGCAGCATCTCCCACCTTCATCCCTATCCTGCAGCCTCCTCACCAACAAGCTCCCAGGGGATTTTGTGAAGGACATGTGCTTTGGGAATGGACACACACACACACACACACACACACACCAGAAAGTGCAATGCTCCTGACCACTTGGCATCCACATTTCTCTCACCCCAAGTGAAGTGAAATCTCTCTGTGTTGGGCCAGGATCGGCAGTGTCTCGGCTGAGTCCCTGTGAGCCTGGGTTTTCATACTGGATGTGGCAAACTGTTGGCTTCTTATGGGGGC